TCATAAGGCGTTAAATTAAACGTGCAAGGCAATACAGTCAAGTTTCAACTGCGTTACAGTTCGATTATTCAAAATATCGCCAATTTTAGCTGACCAGATGAGCCAGTCGACCACCTTATCGCGGACTGATATCATAGTATCGGGGTTTTAACAAAACTTTTCCAAAAGTGTGTATCCTGAATGCTCAGCGGTTTTATTCGAACTGGAAAGTGAGGACGAGAAGATAATGCGGCATCTCAAGTTGAGCCCTCGGACCTCAGATTTAATGTTGCCAGATTTGGTGCAAAAATAAAAGCATTCAAATTTGATTCAAAAGATCTCCTATCTGCAGTACAATGCGGAAGGTTAATAACCAAACCTTTAAGCGGAATGAGGGAAACTATTGTCCATGAAATGGCGATCTCCATTCGTGAGGGTTTTGCAATTTTTCCTCAGATTCTCAGTCACGTATCCCAAATCCATCTGAGAAAATAGTTAACTGTTTCACGGATTAATACACAAGATCGAGGCTTCGCCGCAAGTTTCCCGGGTCGGATTTATGATTGTCGTTTAGTGTGAGGGATAAGCGAGAAACGGTGAAGCACCACTCTTCAAGTTCTCAGCGTGGACAGAATCTTGCTGGCGCAATGACTCGTATAAAAACGTTGTATTAGTGCCTTGAACTGGCGCTAAATGGAGCGTGAACAACTCTGAACTGGCGCTAAATGGAGCGTGAACAACCCCCAGAGGAAGGTTATTCGACGCAGCTACTGCAGGAAATAGGAAATAATTTTGCCTGATAACATTGTGGGCTCGGTGCTTGAAAAACTTCTTACCATGCCTCCTCCGTGTGTTTGATGAGCCAACGGTAAAAACCTTTCGGTCAAACATGGTTCAAACAGGGCATAAGTAAAAAATAGGTCTCTTCAGAGGTGACGATACTTCAGGGTGTGTCAAGCACCACGAGACACATTACAAAGTCCACGTTCTTGAGGCCGACAACCATTGCCGTAGCGACTAGCTGTGCACGCACAATGAGGGTCACGTCCTTCCTGCACCTTGAATAGACAACTTGGTTGGCACACCCAAAAACCGCTCTGACGTAGGCCCTATAGAGTATTCGAAAGTCCTTACGAGTAATATGGGAGTAGGTGCACCGAATCATCCGCAGGACGGCGGATGCTTTCTGAGGGAATGCTCATGGTGCAGTGAGAAGGACATGTTTGGTGGAAGCCAGATACCAGAGTCCTATTTGGCATCTATTCTCGTGATTGTTTCCGGTCCATTCTCACCCGGCATGAAGAGGGCATTCGCTGAGTCTCCTCCAAATGACATATGGACGCACTTATCCTCAACCAGCGGAAGTGCCTGCTCAACGACCACGGCCTTGTAGAGTCTACGTCCACTAGAGAGGGCACTGGGATTAGAACTCCAGGATTTCAGTTCGTCGGCAAGAAGTAGAAATGAACTTGCAAGAATATCTGAAGGGACGCTGACATAAATCAGGAACAGCAGTGGTCTCAAAATGGAGCCTTGAGAATCTCTAATGGAGGCCGGTGCCGGAGAAGATTAGTTCGAGTCTGCTTTCACTCGAAATTTTTTCTCCGATAAGAATAACTTAATCCAGCATAGAATTTTCCCTTGAATCCCGATGACTGGAGTTGGTTTTGCATCGAGACATGTGGGACTCGATTGACTGCCTTTGAGAAGTCGACGTGACTCATTCGTCCTTGGCTTGGTTTTGCATTATAACCACCTATTTTGTCAATTGCATAATTGTTTTTTGCTTGAAAACGAAAAACTACAAAAGCACGCAC